GGATTGTTTCTTGTACATCTTTGAATTTCCTGCTGAGGGGTTTCAGGAGGAAGGTCGTGGGGATCCTAGTGAAGAGGAGTAGCTGGGTTCATCTCGAGGCTTTCTTGAAACTTTGACACTTTGGTAGATCGAAATGTTGTCGGATAGCTGCAAGATTCTCAATAATGAACAGATAGACAATGGGATAACCCTCAAATCAAAACCAATAATGCAGAGAAACTCTTTATTTCCTAAAAAATGAAATGGATAATAACATATAAATTATTACAATGATTTATGAATTTTTATAATGGAAAGATTCTTACAATCTAATTAAGGATCTGTAGGTTAAAACCGTCAGAGAGTCCCAAGACGTTTTTTTATATTTAAATTTCTGAAAAGAATGAAAATTAATTATTAACGAACGTCACTAATTCTTTATATGAAAATATTCTTTGCTTAACTTTTGAAATGGGTTCACAATAATAAAAGTGTTTAGACTCCGTTACCGGAGAACAAAGAAAACGGGGCTAAAATTATTTGGTTTGGTGTCTAAGAGAGGGGATTTTAATTTAAAGACGACATTACACGGATGGACGGAGAGATCTTATAGTTAATGGTTGACAATTGGACTTTCATGAAGACCTGAAACTCTTGAAATACCACAAGTTAAAGGTTTAATGACGACCTGAAACGCTTGAAATACCACAAGTTAAAGGTTTAATGACGACCTGAAACTCTTGAAATACCACAAGTTAAAGGTTTATTGACGACCTGAAACTCTTGAAATACCACAAGTTAAAGGTTTAATGACGACCTGAAACTCTTGGAATATCCCAAGCTACAGGTTAGATTTGGTCTAATAAGTCGAATATAGTTGTATATTGGTATTATTATTTTTTGTTAAAGAAATTAACGAGTTTACAGTGTCAGGGAACCAATGATGAAAAAAGACAGAATATATTATGTTTAGTTATCTCTGATGTCTCATGCTTTGTGGGTAACCCTATATAACAAACTTCCATGCATTAATGATTTATCTAAGGGATATGTCACCTAAATAAACTTTATTTAATTTTGATTTGATTTGAATTTTATCCCGCATTTTACTCACATTCATGATCTTCTTATTTGTTTGGAGGCGAACAAGTAACATTAAATATTACAAATTCGCACATTTTATGTAACTTGAATTAAAAAGTCAACATGTCAACAGTTTTTTGTTATCATTTGGGAAATTATGTTTTTTGTTGTGATTCTCACTTTTTTGTTTGTTTTCGGTTTAAAATTTAGTTTTTTATCCATCGTATATTTCATTGGGTTCAATCATAGTATAAAACTTTTATTTAAACCTTTAACAAACAAAAAAGTAAAAATCCTGACAAAAACATAGTTTCCCAAATATATGATAACACAAGGCAGTTCCATAAATAGATATTGTTACCTACTGGAGTTATGATACAAGTTAAACCTTTATCTATTCTTTTTACATCTCTCTAAATATTACATTAGAATGAATTTCATAATTCGTCCAACCCTTCGCAGAAAACGACCTTCTAACTCAAAACCATTATTCTGAGGAATATGCCCCTGACCCTTTGTCATTATGGGAGAAAAAATAATTGAGTCTTTGCCGCAAACTCTGATTTTCTAATCCCTTTATCTTTCCAACCCAATGCCGTAGACCTCAGATATTTCAAACAATGAATTCTGTTGAATCAAATAATCTAATTTTGAATTGTCAAAGATTTACACCTTCAGGTTGTACAAACATAGGAATTTAAAAAATGACTTTTTGGAAATAATTTGACACCAACCAACATTTTACAATTTTGTTGCAACTCTCTTAGATATTGTGCTTTTGCCAGCAAATGATTACAATTGCACATCAAACATAAAATTACACTTCTATTTTCACAATAAAAACATAAATACATATGTAACTGAAAAATGGCATCAAAAATGTTGAAAATGCTGCAAAGGCCCAACAGATTTGTCTCAAATTTTGATTTCCCCAACTTTTAAAAAATTAAGTGGGTCTATTTCAGAGCCCAGGCAAAGCCAGCTGGGTTCCTAACCTAATATTATTGATAATACGAGGTTTCAACTTTGGTTTTCATGCACTTTTTAACTTTTTAACTAACATCTAAACTGTGTTACAACTGATCTGTTTATAAATAATCAAGAAGTGAAAGGTTCACTTTGAATTGTTTAGAGGTGTGGGAAAGATATAACATTGATGACTTTCCCAGGGATAAACTTCCGGTCAGCAAGCTTCCACTTCCGGTTAGCAGGATTCCACTTCCGTTGAGAAGACTTCCTTCGCCTTCAAAAAAACTTACAGAGAATATTTTCGAAGTGCGTTTCCTCTTTAAACTCTAGTCTCTGAAGAGTTCATAGACATAAACAATTTTAAAGAGACAAATATTATAAATATTCTTAATAATGATTATAATATTTTATGGGACGATGGCACTGATGATGATAATAAAAACAATAATATTAAGAATAAGAATAATTATATGAATGATAATAATGATAATAATAAAAAGAAAGAAAAAGTGAAAATGATAATTATCAATAAAAATATAATTTTTATCATAAACATGTAAGGCCGGCTACAAACAGTGTTTAAAAAAATCTAAATCTTTTGAAAAATTTATTCACAAAGCATAAGACTTCTAGGACGACTGCACAGAATCAAAGAAACTCTAAGCGTAATTTCAAATGACCCTCGATCCATGCAAAAAAGGCAATGCTCGATTCACGCTTACTTTCCCTTTAATTCAATTTTTATTCATAATTCCACGTTTATGTGTACGTGAAGCTGTATCTTTTTTTTTGTTAAATTAGTCCGTGTACACACGGGGTCGTCATATACATATATGTATATAGAGTTTCAGGTTGTCATTAAAGTCTCATCCTTTGTGGGTATAACCCTGCATAGGGTAGGCATCTATATTATAACATAGCGTTCAAAAATAGCTTGATCGGAAAAATCATTTATTGTCATTTATTATCTAAGGATTAATGTTCTAAAGAACAATACCAATATACAATTTAAAATTGTGGGTTGGGGATGAACCAAAGTAGATGTTATAAAGTAAATGTTAGTTCCACATTCTGTTGAAAATATATAACGGTCTGGGTTGGGGATGGACTAAAGTAGATGCTATAAAGTAAATGTTAGTTCCACATTCTATTGAAAAATATTACAGTCTGGGTTGGTGATGGACTAAAGTAGATATTATAAAGTAGATGTTAGTTCCACATTCTGTTGAAAATATATTACGTTCTGGGTTGGGGATGGACTAAAGTAGATATTATAAAGTAGAAGTTAGTTCCACATTCTATTGAAAATATATTACAGTCTGGGTTGGGGATGGACTAAAGTAGATATTATAAAGTAGATGTTAGTTCCACATTCTGTTAAAAATATATTACAGTCTGGGTTAGTGATGGACTAAAGTAGATATTATAAAGTAAATGTTAGTTCCACATTCTATTAGAAATATATTACAGTCTGGGTTGGTGATGGACTAAAGTAGATATTATAAAGTAGAAGTTAGTTCCACATTCTGTTGAAAATATATTACAGTCTGGGTTGGTGATGGACTAAAGTAGATATTAAAAAGTAGATGTTAGTTCCACATTCTATTAGAAATATGTTAAAAAACCACAAGAAAATAAACAAACAAAAAAGATTAGAAAGAGGAAACAAACTCAGAAGATAATTTGCAAATATTTACTTTTTAAAGAATAATGATATCAATAAGAATTGTTGTTTCTAGTACCTGTTTCCAAACTCCAGGCAGGGAATGAATTATTTTCACATATATTGGTTTCTTCCTGCACCTTCGGGGTAATCAACATATCTCTAGCAAAAAAAAAAATCAACCATTGAATTTACAGTTGAGATAAAAAATAAGAATGAAATGTATACACTATACAAGCACCACGTTGTCGACCGAGTACAAAAGGAATATCAAATATCATGGTTTGAAAATAATATGTTTTTTTTCTATTTAGATGTACAATTTAAAAGAATTAGATTGCAATCTAGGGTTTCAGGGTTGCGATGAAATGGTCATAATATTGTTTAAAAAGCAAATTGGAAAGCAACATTTAACCATTGGATTTATAGATGAGATATTAACAAATTAGTTTAATATGTATAAAAGCACGACAGTCAACCGAGCCCAAAAGGTATATTAAATTCAATGTCACGGTGTGAATTTTTTCTCCTTTTCTATTTTAATTTGATTTTCTAAAGAAAATTATATTTGGTTCTGGTTAGCTCATGTTTTCGATATAACCGGTTTCATTGTTTTGAATTGGAGAATAGTATTGGAAAATACTGTACTGCACAAGTTCAACAATATTGCAGTGTTCTTTTTTATTCAGAGTTCGCTAAATTACTGAATTTCTGTATAAACAGTGGTTGGTAAAAATTTGCTAAAAAATATTCAACCAAGAAGAATATTTAAATATCGTATTTATACCAGAGCCCTGCAGGGTTTATTCAGATTTAGGCTTTTAAAATCTCAGCTCAGGATTGAGACCAATTCTTGGACAAACTTGTAAAGAATAACCAATAACAAGGTAAATCAGACGCCATACAGGAGGTGGTCTTTCTTTCCCTTAGTTTAAGATAATTCAGAGACAATACAGTAGGTCTTCTTTAGTCACTGAATTCCCATGTTTTTTGGGACACCCTGTATACAACTTAATAGCTCAAACTTATTTATGAAAAATGTTCCGCTTTTCTAATTTATTTGTCTGTGAGTTTTAGTGTCTCAATATGCCACTTTATAGTTTATAGCACTGGCACTTCGTTTTGAATAATATTCTCTTTATCTATTTAAATCACGACGCCTCTAATACAGGGTGTCCCACATCATATTAGATCGTCAATGAGTCTAAATTACGTTTTTCGGGAAAAAAATTGAATTAGACTAACACAAAAATTGAATTAGACTAACACAAAAATTTTCTTGCAAAAAAAGCTAGGTTTTTCGAGTAATATGTGTTTATTTTGGAGCTAAAGCCTGAAGAGATACTCTTATATGATATGTCGTCTGATTTACCTTAAACAAAAGGAAGAAAGACGACCTCCTGTATGGCGTCTGATTTACCTTAAACTAAAGCCAGAAAGACGACCTCCTGTATGACCTCTGATTTACCTCAACTAAAGCCAGAAAGACGACCTCCTCTATGACCTCTGATTTACCTCAACAAAAGCCAGAAAGACGACCTCCTGTATGGTGTTTTATACCTTAAACTATAGCCAGAAAGACGACCTCCTGTATGACCTCTGATTTACCTTTAACTAAAGTCAGAAAGACGACCTCCTGTATGGCGTCGGATTTTCCTTAAACAAAAGGCAGAAAGACGACCTCCTGTATGACCTCTGATTTACCTCAAGTAAAGCCAGAAAGACGACCTCCTGTATGACCTCTGATTTACCTTAACAAAAGGCAGAAAGATGACCTCCTATATGGCGTCTGATTTACCTTAAACTAAAGCCAGAAAGACGACCTCCTGTATGACCTCTGATTTACCTATAGCCAGAAAGACGACCTCCTGTATGACCTCTGATTTACCTCAACTAAAGCCAGAAAGACGACCTCCTGTATGACCTCTGATTTACCTCAACTAAAGCCAGAAAGACGACCTCCTGTATGACCTCTGATTTACCTCAAGTAAAGCCAGAAAGACGACCTCCTGTATGACCTCTGATTTACCTTAACAAAAGGCAGAAAGATGACCTCCTATATGGCGTCTGATTTACCTTAAACTAAAGCCAGAAAGACGACCTCCTGTATGACCTCTGATTTACCTTAAACTATAGCCAGAAAGACGACCTCCTGTATGACCTCTGATATACCTCAACAAAAGGCAGAAAGACGACCTCCTGTATGGCGTCTGATTTAAACTAAAGCCAGAAAGACGACCTCCTGTATGACCTCTGATTTACCCCAACTATAGCCAGAAAGACGACCTCCTGTATGACCTCTGATTTACCTCAACTAAAGCCAGAAAGACGACCTCCTGTATGACCTCTGATTTACCTCAACTAAAGCCAGAAAGACGACCTCCTGTATGACCTCTGATTTATCTCAACTAAAGCCAGAAAGACGACCTCCTGTATGACCTCTGATTTACCTTAAATTATATCCAGAAAGACGACCTCCTGTATGAACTCTGATTTACCTTAAATTATATCCAGAAAGACGACCTTTAGTATCTCCGATAAGAAGGCAGTTCAGTTCTGAATCCAGGAACAATGCTGATGGTGTACACTGAACCCCAAACCTTAATTAAGAAGTATAAATAACTATTTTTCTCTTCATTACAGGGAGGCAATAGGGATGTAATAAATAGAGGAGGGAATATTACATTGCCGAGGCAATCCAAGACCTTGTTGGGTAGTTAAGCATCCCGAGCGTAGCCAGGATGCTTAACTACCCAACAAAGTCTTGGGAAGCAAAGGCAATGTAATATCCCCCCCAATGTTTATTGCATCCCTGTTGCTTCACATGAATAAAGAGATTTTCAACTTTTAAACAAAATATAATATAATTATTTACATGAAAATCTACCTTTTAGGTTTTAAAACTGTAAAATCTACTTAGTTTTGTAACACATATTTTTGAGTTCAGAAATCAAATCTTACTAATTTTTTCGGAGTTGTAAACCCGCAACTTCTTGGCAGAACAATTCGCAATTACTTAGATTGTATCCCTAGGGTTGCAATCTAACAATACGACCCTGGTTTCAGGAAGACAATTATTCCACGTTTTCTGTTCCGAATCATATTAAAGTTTATCTTAAATCAATTCCGTACTCCGTAGATCTTAAGAGCAATCTATGTCAGAGGAATTTTATAATTTTCGAGATATAAGATGTTTGGCAAGAATAAATAACTCTTAGGAATGTTGAAATTGGAAAATTTTCAGAGAAGATAATTTTTAATGATTACAAATTGCAAAATTATTATGTTTACCACTGTATTACCTTGCTCTCAGCTGTCCTTGGTAGGACCATATCAGAATATCTTTACCATCCACAGTGCATGCACAGCTAGGGGTCAGCAGTACCTGGGTTACACCCCATCTAGACACCAGGGAATATAATTTGTTATCATCTACAGAACAGACACAGCAAGGGGTCAGCAGTACCTGGGTCCCACCCCAACTAAACACCAGGGAATATATAATTGGTTATCAACTACAGAACAGACACAGCTAGGGGTCAGCTGTACCTGGGTCCCACCCCATCTAAACACCAGGGGATATAATTTGTTATCATCTACAGTACAGACACAGCTAGGGGTCAGCACTACCTGGGTCACACCCCATATGGACAGTAGAGGTAATAATAGTCTTTCAGGGGGGGGGGCTATGCAGCTAATGCAACACAGTTAAATAAATTTAAAAATACCCAAGAAAGAAGAATATTGGATAAAATGATTATCTGCATTAACAACATGTATCGCTTAATATTGTACTTTGTAAAAGTTATGACAAAAAAAATTCGCTAATTGAATAAAAAGACAGCAGGGGTTTATTAAATTTTCAATATTTACCCTTCAAAGATTTTTGGATATAAAGAAAAATTGAACCAGAGATTGAAGAGATTGTTTATCTATTCTAAACAGTAACCAGAGATTGAAGAGATGGTTTATCTAATCTAAACAGCAACCAGAGATTGAAGAGATAGTTTATCTAATCTAAACAGAAACCAGAGATTGAAGAAATGGTTTATCTAATCTTAACAGAAACCAGCGATTGAAGAGATGGTTTATCTAATCTAAACAGAAACTTCGAGATTGAAGAGATGGTTTATCTAAACTTAGTTGTAACCAGAGATTGAAGAGATTGTTTATCTATTCTAAACAGTAACCAGGGATTGAAGAGATGGTTTATCTATTCTAAACAGAAACGAGAGACTGAAGAGATGGTTTATCTAATCTAAACACTAACCAGAGATTGAAGAGATGGTTTATCTAATCTAAACAGTAACCAAAGATTAGAGATGGTTTATCTAATCTAAACAGAAACCAGAGATTGAAGAGATGGTTTATCTAATCTAAACAGAAACCAGAGATTGGAGAGATGGTTCATATAATCCTAATAGAAACCAGAGATTGAAGAAATGGTTTATCTAATCTAAACAGAAACCAGAGATTGAAGAAATGGTTTATCTAATCTAAACAGAAACCAGTGATTGAAGAGATGGTTTATCTAATCTAAGCAGAAACCGAAGATTGAAGAGATGATTTATCTAATCTAAACAGAAACCAAAGATAGAAGAAATGGTTTATCTAATCTAAACAGAAACAAAAGATTGAAGAGATGGTTTATCTAATCTAAACAGAAACCAGTGATTGAAGAGATGGTTTATCTAATCTAAACAGAAACCAGAGATTGTAAGAGGTGGTTTATCTTATCAAAACAGAAACCAGAGATTGGAGAGATGGAATATATAATCCTAATAGAAACCAAGGATTAAAGAGATGTATTACTCCGTCAAGACAGAAGTCATATACTAGAGAGATAATCTACTTATTTTAATCCTAAAAATTTCAGAGATAAGAGATATGTGTTAAATAATGTGGCCAAAAACCAGAGAGTAAAGAGATGATGCACAATCTTCACAGAAACAAGAAATAGAAAATATATGTTTAATGGGACCCTCCCGGCCTCTTGTTACCTGTGTGGGGTAAGCGTTGTTTTTGCTCTGTTAGATCTTGTAGATAAATTCCAAATACGAGCAGTCCTAAACAGTTGGATTTTTTTAGATAATTCCAAATACAAGGAATCCTAAACAGATTTATTAGATAAATTCCAAATACGAGCAGTCCTAAACAGCATGATTTATTGGATAATTCCAAATACAAGGAGTCCTAAACAGATTTATTAGATAAATTCCAAATATGAGCAGTCCTAAACAATAGGAATTATTGGATAAAATTCAAATAAGAGCAGTCCTAAACAGTTGCATTTTAGATAAATTCCAATTACGAGCAGTTCTATTCTAAACAATTGGATTTATTAGACAACTTCCAAATATGAACAGTTCTAAATATAAACTACTAATATGAGCAACCTAAACAGTTGGAATTCTAAAAATGGACAGTCCTAAACAGTAGTGTTTTAGAAATTCCAAATATGAGCAGTCCTAAACAGTTGGATTGATTAGATAAATTCCAACTATGAGCAGTCCTTAACAGTTGAATTTTATTAATTAAATTCCAAATACGAGCAGTCCTAAACAGTTGGATTTATTAAATAAATTCCAACTATGAGCAGTCCTTAACAGTTGAATTTTATTAAATAAATTCCAAATACGAGCAGTCATGAACAGTTGGATTTATTGAATAAATTCCAACTATGAGCAGTCCTTAACAGTTGAATTTTATTAAATAAATTCCAAATACGAGCAGTCCTTAACAGTTGGATTTATTGAATAAATTCCAACTATGAGTAGTCCTTAACAGTTGGATTTTATTAAATAAATTCCAAATACGAGCAGTCCTTAACAGTTGGATTTAAAAGATAATCTAAAGGTAAAAAGAGGTCAGTGTGTTTCAATCTCTGCAACAATTAAAGAAACAAAACCTGTATTAAGATTATTTTGCATTAAAACGGAATTAAAAGGAAACATAAGTTACAATTCTACTTAAAGGGTATTGAGGACTGGATATGGGACTCTCAGATTTGAAGACTCGGACTCTTGGTGCTAGACTCTTGCCCCTCTTGAATCTGGTCACTCTGCTGGACTCTGTGACTCTTGGCTTCTGGACTCTGACCCTCTGGACTCGCAGACTTCAAACTCCGGCCCCATATTTTTACCCTCCTAACCCCTCTTTCCCAAAGCAGAAAGGGAGTTGGTCCCTTCTTTCGAAGAGGCTTCCACACAACTGAACTTATTCTTTGTTAGGTCTCCATTTATAGTCTGTCACCCCAATTTTCTCCCCTATCCAACGTGGCTGGTCATTTCTCCAAGGGAAGGGGGGTCAGTCAGCTGCCTGAATAATGGGCCAGGGCAGCTATGGTAAGGTGCAGGTTTAGTTAACCTTCTTCGGCAGCTTCTAAAGAAAAATGTAGTAGCAGCTTTTTAAATAAGCTGTTTAGTTCTATAGGAACAGCTAGTTACATATGTTGTATAGTTCTATAGGAGCAGCTAGTTACCATATCTGAATAGTTCTATAGCAGCAGCTAGTTACCTGAGCTGAATAGTTCTATAGGAGCGGCTAGTTACCTTAGCTGTATATAGTTCTATAGTAGCAGCTAGTTACTGGAGCTGTATAGTTCTAGGAGCAGCTAGTTACTTGAGCTGTATAGCTCTAGGAGCAGCTAGTTACCTGAGCTGTATAGTACTGGGAGCAGTTAGTTACCTGAGCTATATATGTTATTAATAATATTTTTATGTTTCAATTCTTTATTCCAATGACAGTGCATTTGGTTCACAGCTTAAAAGATGAAGGCGCAGGAGGCCTACATCCTAGCTTAAGTAAAGAAAAGTATATTTGACAGCTTGCAGACATCATGGAGCCATAATAATGGGGAGAGGTAAGATTTTTCACTTAAGAAAGGAAAGCATGAGACCAGTTGTAAAACTAAGCAAGGACTTGCCCTGACTTAAAGAGAACTAGCTGGAATTGAAGACACATTTGTCTGAAATATGATCTTAATTGTAAAACCGAGTACCGCCTCAGGAGGCCGTCGAGGAGGACTTCATGTGATTCATGAAATGTGTTTATGAAATATGATTGGGATCATAAAACTGAGCTAGGACTTGAGACGAGCAGGCTGCAGAAGAAACGGAAAGCAGGATGCCATCTAAATTCAATAATATTTAAAGTGTTATTTCTCATGTTACAAAAAATTTGATATTTTTTTTTGGCAAATATAGAAGAAAAAGGAGGACTTAGCGAAGGCGGGGGACGTCTAAGTTCCCATTGAAGGTCCCCTTTGGTCTGGCTGGGTAGTCAACAACAGTTGGATCGATTGATTAGATAAATTTCAAATATGTGCAGGCCTTAAAAGTTAGAATTTATATAAATTACAAATATGAGAACTTATAAAAAAATTGAATTCATTTAAAAAATTGAACGTGAAATGGGCAAGAAATTAAACGAAATGTCTTGCAGACTCAGAATTGCTGTGGCTGGCAAGGGAGGGGGTGCAGGACCACCAAAAGCCCCGCAAAATGACCTCCCCCCTGTAAACATTTAGTCTCCGACAAACCGACAACTTTACCATCTGCACATAAAGTCGGTAAAAATGTTTCTCGGGCCGGAAAATCCTGATACACAAAATGAATGCAGAGCACGGAGATAGTATGGCAGAGGCTTGGAGACGTAGCGAGAGGACGTAGACGGTTTTGAAGGGCGTGGAGGTCGTTTTGCATCAGGAGGCTCCAGAGGTCATTGTGGTTCTGAATTCCCATCCTTGACTGGCCCTCCTCCCCGTGGCCCCCATACCTGTCATCAGATCCTGTGAGTAGTAAACCGGTTTTCACAAGGAGTGACAAACATCGAACTCTAGAGACATGGCCCTGCTAACAAATTGTTTAAGAGATTGTACAAATAAAAAGAACCATTTTCAATTGATTAAATAAAATAATTGACAAATGTTTTCCCGGAGTAGAAATACGCAAGTCACTTTTGTAGAGAAACACCCAATTATAAAATTATTAAATTTTAAATTTATAACATTAATATCTAATTCATACTTGATCAGAGAAAGCTTTTAAATGGTACCATTGGAAATTAGCATTGCCATCTTTCTATGGAGGGTCACTTGAAATTATGCTTACAATCCCTTTAAGTTCACTTTGATATACGATAATAGTCCCTTGGTGACAAAGTATATACCTGTAGTATATGTGATATTTCAAGACAACCATTTCTTGTAATCCTGATAACAGTTACAGAGCAATCCTCACTGCAGCTTAGTATCACAGAATCATGAACTAACACCTTGAAACAAAAAAGATAACTTTTTTTAATCTAAATTTTTTATTACATTTTTTCGGGGTATGGCTAGAGGAACTTTACAAGGGCCTTGCACCTCAACACTTTAGGATTAATTAAAAGAATTTTTGTCATTTATTTTAACAGATTAATTGTTCAGCTGCTTAAATTTTCCAATAATTTTCGAAAACTCCTGTTCCGAAACAGAATTTTGGCCTAGAAAGGATTTTGAACCTAATTAAAAAATGTGAATTAGGTGCAAAAATGAACAAAATTGCGTGATTTAAGTTTTAAAATACTTTCCCTTTAGCAAACAGGTATTCCAGATCGTAATCGAATTTAACATTAACACTTCCTTCGTTAACAGACATTTTTCCAACCCTACTTGTCAATATATACTGTAGCATTTAAATCATGGGTGTAATATTTAGAATATGACCAGATACTAAAACCCCTGAACCCTTTTCTGAATCTAAGCTGAGAAGAGAACCTAGAGAATAGGAGCTCCACACTCCAGGACCTTATACAGGATAGAGAATAGGAGCTCCACACTCCAGGACCTTATACAGGATAGAGAATAGGAGCTCCACACTCCAGGACCTTATACAGGATAGAGAATAGGAGCTCCACACTCCAGGACCGTATACAGGATAGAGCTTAGCTCTGTTTTCCAATGAAGGCATTGGGACTTGTACTTCATAGACACTGTCTGAGAGCTGTCCAGTGGACAGCTCTCAGACTGATATATCTTTATCGTGACTACCAGAGGACTAAGGTGGACAACAGCCTCCTTCCCCATCATTCAACATGAGTACACATCCTAGGAATTCTCAGCATCACTAAGGATATCAGTGGACACTCTCTATTCTCCAACTTGTTCTCAGAACCACTGGAGACACAGAGCAGCTAGAGGATCCAGTCTTTATTCTTCAGCTGGATCTATGAACAGAGTTACTGAAGTTTTGGAGCAGCTAAGGTTTTTATATGCAGAAGCTCCATATTCTCGAGTTGGTTCTATTGACCAGGGACACTTGACATACATAGCAGCCATGACAACTAGGACATGCAGAAGCTCCATATTCTCCAGCTGGCTCTCTCGACAGAGACACCCGAGATATGGAGCAGCTAGAATAACAACATAGACCAATGACTCCAGGTAAAGAGGAGATCATGAGAATATATGAGAACACGATCTATCGTCCTCCAGATAGGATCTGGTATTAGAGATGGAAGAAGCTGCTTGTTGCAGACAGCTCTCCATCACCCCGGTGTATAAGCAGCAGAACCAGATGATTCTGAGTACGGAGACGCCGCTCATTGCAGACTAGCTCTGCACACATCTGTGATAGCAATAGCTACAGGACACATAAGAGAATTAGGATATCCAGGACACATAGGAGAATTAGGATATCCAGGACACATAGGAGAACTAGGATATCCAGGACACAAAGGAGAACTAGGATATCCAGGACGCAAAGGAGAACTAGGATATTCAAGACACATTAGAGAACTAGGATATCCAGGACACATAGTAGAAATAGGATATCCAGGACACAAAGGATAACTAGGATATCCAAGACACAAAGGGGAGCTAGGACTTCCAGGAACCTGAGAACGAAGATGCCGCTCACTGTGGAACAGCTCTTCACAGACCTGTTGTGGAACCACTAGGGGAACCAGAGGATTCTGAGTATGAAGACGCCACTCATTGTGGAACAGCACTTCACGGACCTGTTGTGGAACCAGCAGCAGAACCAGAGGATCCTGGGATAGGAGACGCTGCTCTTTACAGATCTATTGCAGAAACAGTTGAGGAACGAGAGATCTTAATGCAGGAGACGCTGCTCCTTGTAGATAGCCCTTCACAGACCAGTTGGCAGTCCAGCAAAGGAAGCAGCTGGAAATGCTGTGGTAGCATCTCAGATTGTAGGAGCCGCTAAATTTGCAGAGACTCCAGAACACCCACAGTTAAACACAAGCATCTCACAGTGCAAGACTTTAGGAACAACTCTGGAAGCATCTCAGATTATAAGGACAGCTAACAGAGCAGAGGCTCTAGGAACAGCTCCAGGTGCAGCTCGTAGCAACAGCTCAAGGAGCAACTCCAGTAGTTAAGGAGGCAACTGAGGACACAGTAAGAGCATCCCAGATTGTAGGAGGAGCCAGAGTAGCAGAGGCTCTGGGAGCAGCTTCGATAGTAAAGGAAGCAGTTAAGAAGGCAGTGGAATCTCCAGAGAGACCTGATCAGCTGAACCAGTGTATTAGAGGAAGCTGCTCAGAAAGATCCTGAACTGTAGCAGCTGAATATCTAAAGGGCCTTATTAAAACATGAATAAACATTACAGATGTATTTAATCAATAAGTTTTAAAACTGATTCATCCCATTCATTTACACTCTGAGAGATATATAAACAGAGGTTATTAAAGGGATTGATACTAAAACAAGAGTATGGGGATCTAGAGTGAAATATTTGCATAATCCCTAAACCATGGGTGCAAATGATTAACCTCAAGAATCCCTAGGATTTACATCTGGCTTGTATTTGAAAGAAGACAATAATCATTACAATACGTTTTATATTTATAATATTTTATTTTAAATATTTGTAATCCATTGTTTACCTTTATCACTGGTTTAGTATGGGTAGAAATCACAGAAACACAATCACTCTTCTAAAGTTATGATATAATAAATTTGTATTTTATGAGGAAAAGGGCTTTGTAGTATAGGTATTGTTATAAAGGTTTTGTAATATAGGTATTGTAATAAAGGTATTGTAATATAGGTATTGTGATAAAAGTTTTGTAATCCAGGTATTGTAATAAAGGTATTGTAATATAGGTCTTGTGATAAAGGTTTTGCAAGGTAGGTATTGTGATAAAGGTTTTGTAATATAGGTATTGTAATAAAGGTTTTGTAATATAGGTATTGTGATAAAGATTTTGTAATATAGGTATTTTGATAAAGGTTTTGTAATATAGGTATTGTGATAAAGGCCTTGCGTTAAAGAAAGGTATTGTGGTACATGAATTATAGATAAAGGTATTCTGATAAACAAAAAAGTCTGAAAAGACGACATTTCAAATCATTTATTGCCGCCCCTTCCTGTAACCTGATTTTTCAGTTGATAGATGGAAACGTTTCCACTCCTCTCCCCTAGGACTAGAATATCATCCTCATAATCAGCGCACTCTATATCTGAATACTCCATGGTAAATATACAGTAAGTACACTCTATATCTGAATACTCCATGGCAAACATGTAGTCATTACACTCTATATCTGATTACTCCATTTTAAACATATAGTCAGTTAACTCTTTATTTGTATACTCCATTTTAAACATATAGTCAACATACTCTATATCTGTATACTCCATTTTAAACATATAGTCAGTACACTCTATATCTGTATACTCCATTTTAAACATATAGTCAACATACTCTATATCTGTATACTCCATTTTAAACATGTAGTCAGTTCACTCTATATTTGTATACTCCATTTTAAACATTTAGTCGGCATATTCTATATCTATTATCTGTATACTCCATGGTAAAGAAATAGTCAGTACACTCTATATAAATATAAAAGATAAGCTGTATGGAGGAATTCAATCTTTACCATAAATAACGGATTTTTGCGTGCAATTCCATTCTGAAAAATACATAGAATCAGGGGCGGACATAAGGATTCTGTAGGGGATATATATACCAACATTTTACCAAGTATTGCCCCAGGGAGCGAGGATATGTTTACTTGTATCACCAAACAAGAATGTGATTAATATGTTTAATATATACATATAGATGCCATGACGTTCTTTAGAATCCTAAATAAGATCTATAAGAATTTAAAATGAAAGACATTTTGCTGGAAGACAAATGGTGTGCGTACAGGAAGCAATACAGGTAAGCGCGCTGCCGCAAATCCATGTTTGAGAGATATTTGCGGAAAGGAAGCCCAACGGGTGGTGTGTGCCTTCAGTTCACAGCCTCGATCAGAATTTTGAACAAAATGATCATAAATATAAATTAATCTCTAATTTTCTGTTCGTAATTTTAAGCAAAATATTCGAAACCTGGAGAATTGAGAGATATTTCTACTCGACCAACCCTCCTTAACTCTCCTAGAACCAACCAATTCTAAACAATATACAGATAGTCGTCTTCTTTCTTTTTATTTTGAAAATTTTGTAATGTTTGTAATCTATTGATTTTTTATTTCTAAAAATCTTTCGTATACAATAACATATTACTTATAAAAATTACAAATTACAAAATATTTAGGAAAATTCATTTTTTCAAAACCATGTAATTCGTAATAAAAAGAAAAAAGACGACATTACTTCCACTGTTACAGTTTAAACAATAAAAAGTAACACAAAAACAAAAGAAATTTCCGTGTGTACGAAAGCCCAATTCAAAGCAAAGTTAAATGGACTGTATAAGCGTAAATTCAAGATGACAATGCCAGATTCACAACGCTGCCCTTAAAAGCTTTGTCCAATCATGTTTAAATTATATATCAATTTTTATATATTTGCAGAAAAACTAATTATTTTCATGATTGTGGTTTCTCTACAAAAAAGACTTGCGCATTTCTTATTTTATCAAATAAAGGTTTCAAGAGTGACGTTGTTAAATGGGGATTGGCATCTGTGCATGAAGGTTGAAATTATGCAAATAGGCCCTTTAATTGGTAATTCTTAATTTTACCTCAACCCAGCACTTCTCAAGTTTCGAATAAAGGACAAACCACATAAAGTACACATTGGACTAAAAAGTACATAATATTATGTAAAGTAAAAAAAATATTAATGTCTTTTTCTTTTTTACCTTTTCATCTTGCACAGCGCACTGATCATTGAAACCTGCAGCAAGCACCTTAAAATAAATATAAACAAGATTGGATAATGAGCGGTGCTGTACAGTTGTGCTGTACAGTTGTACTGTACAATTGTACTGTACCTGTACAGTTGTTGACGTAATTTCAAGTGACTCTTCAGTTGTGGAGTGGCATGTCCGATTTTCAATGATGCTTGTGGATTTTATGGTGCGGAGAAAATGAAGGAAATTGTGGGAATTCGACACGTTCTTAGATATTTTTAGATAGAAAACGAGACTATCTTCCTCATTGTTAATTAGGTAAAGGTTTAAAGAATACTATTGTGAATCAGACATGGAACTCTTTAAATGGAGGGAAACTCGATTTAAACCGGGTGGCGCACAGTGGGGTATTAGGGGAGGGGGGAAAACTCTTAAAATAGGATTTTTCAACACGCTACTCTGACTAAATCAAGGATTTCGGGTGCTGCTGGAGTCCCTAAATATTTTCTATATGGCTGTTAGAATCTATAATTTATATATTTGGTGCCATCACAAACTCCTGAAATACAAACTCCTGAAATAAAAACTCTTGAAATACAAACTCCTGAAATACAAACTCCTGAAATACAAACTCCTGAAATTCAAACTCTTGAAATACAAACTCCTGAAATACAAACTCCTGAAATTCAAACTCCTGAAATTCAAACTCCTGAAATACAAACTCCTGAAATACAAACTCTTGAAATTCAAACTCCTGAAATTCAAACTACTGAAAGACAAACCCCTGACAACACAAACTCCTGACGAGACAAACTCCTGACATGACAAACTCCTGAAATTATGAAATTTTACTCTTAATGAAATATGATAAAATTCATAAACCTTAGGAGAAAAAAACCGCAAATATTCTAGAAAAAATTCTCAAACTTTAGTATTTTGAATATGCTTCAACCAGCAAAGTATTACAATGCTCGTTGGAGCATATTCAAATTATAATTTAGATTTTAATTTGATCATTAACCCAAGATAACTAGATTAAATATAAATTGTGAAACATTTTTTTAAAATTTGATATTATGGAGTTTGTATTTCAGAAGTTTTTATTTTCAGGAGTTTGTCTCGTCAAGAGTTTGTTTCGTCAGGAGTTTGTCTTGTCAGGAGTTTGTCTTTCAGGAGTTTGTATTTTCAGGAGTTTGTCTTTCAGGAGTTTGAATTTCAGGAGTTTGTCTTTCAGGAGTTTGTGATGGCACCATATATTTAGATTATCCCGAAACCCCTGTGCTTTCTTGTGCTTTTAATATAAAATATAAGTTTTTCTTCCAAAATACTCGCTGTAACAAAGACGACATATAAATATATTGCGGGATTACAGGATCCATTCAAGGATAAATTTATGAACGGGAAAAGTAATTAAAAATTGAAATCATTAAAAATCAATGCTAGCTACAATTCATAAAATGTTAGTAAATGAAAAGATTATCAGAATATATTAATGTTATCCATTCTCAACATGATACACAAGACAAATGCATTTTAAAAGGAGTATCTCCAATTCACTAAATTCGGGTTCTGGAATATTCTTTAAAGAAAATATTCTCTAATCGAATCTAATTCAAATACAGATTGCAGAAATGACATTCAAGCAGGAAATTGAAATTATTTATGATTTGCAATTTTTTTCTGTAAAAAAGTCAAAATGAAAAAATCAAACATATTGATAGTTAAATACCATTATAGCGCATGCTTTTTAAAAAAAATACTTTTTATCATTCCCTTATTTGAATTATCAAAACTCGACGTCTTAATTAAATAAAAACCACTGTTTCTTTTTATAAATGATTTCATTTGAAAATGTTTAAAAGATGAATATATATAATATATCAGATGTAAAGAACATATTTGTTTCGGCGTTTTGGCCTCTATAGGTTTCATCTTTTAACCCTTGTAATACTGGGGTTTCAGTAGATAAGCTTAAAGAAGGGTGTGCGGGTGCCCCCCCCCCCCGCGGAATCCCTCTCTAAAATATTTACGCATAAGGCGTAAATTAAGCATCTTACTTTTTCTTTCTTTTTTTAAAATGTTTTTGGGGGCTAAGCTCCTCTTTTTAGTTATTGTATTTGTATGATATAGGAGCATGTGCAAACAAGAACAACTAACTGTTTGTTACTTAATATATGAATATAATTAACTATTATTGTGCTGCTCAAAGCTCAAAAAGGATTTTTTTCGATCTATTTTTATAATAACAAGTGTGTAATTGTTTTTAATTACATTCTTTTGGAACATGTAAAGTTTCTTGTTTTTATTTGACATATTTTTCTTGAAAATTCATACAATCGTTCTCGTATATTTATACACTACAACATCAACTTTTTAATGTCAGTGATCGATATTAAAAACAGAGTTTTAGAAAATAAAAAAAAGATGTAAACACTTTATTCTCAACTCACAGTCACTTCCCTTCTCACTCCCCACCTTTATCCCTTCACCTTCTCCCTCCCCTTTCCCCCTACCAACCCCAAGGGAAAAAAGGATTTTAATACCTCGGCCTGGAAAGAGAGATTTATTTTTCTAAGATCACAGATTCCAGTTTTCTTTTTCTCTAAAATCCTGAGATATTTTTAAAAGTGAACTTTAAATAAAATTCGGGGTTGATTTTGAACATTTTAAAAAATCTCAATATTCGCAACTTACGTTTAAAGGATGTAGCCAACTTTGAGAAGAAGAAAAAACGTTGGTAAAATCAAAATTGCCATAAGTAAATGACTTTTAAGGTTTAGAAACAAAAAAAGTTACCAGTTTAAAACAATGCAAAGTGAACTACCACTATTTACAATGTGAACAATGTTACGTGAACTAAAATTTTTAACAGTGTAAAATATTTAACAACTATGCTATTTTGGGCGCTTAGCGCCTTTTTAGATTCTAACTTTTAATGGTTGCTCTCATATCGATTTCTTTTTCGTGGATTTTGAAAAATAAAATTTGTATGGCAAATTTTTTTAATTTGACCATCAATAAAACCTTCCACGGGGTCATATGAGGTCTCACAAATAAATTGGACCCGACGTTTATTGGATACAAACGGACAGACAAACAGACATCTTCTTTTTCAACTTTTAATTGTGGCTTTATCTGTGCGCTTCTTCTCTTTGTACAGTATAAATTTTTTTAATTTGCGGATTTCATAATACTTTTTCCCGCATTTTCAAAATTAAATAATTTAAGATAGACATATTTTAAGATTGGTCATAAACCTTCCCTGGGGCCACGTGAGGTCCCATACAAAATTTGGGCCTGATCGGTTCAACTGTTTTGACGTTTATTTGATACAAACAAACAGACACCCACCCAAACAGACAGACAGACAAGCTAAATTTAAATATAGATATGTTGAAACATTTCACGACTTTATATGATTTCCATTTAATTTAAAATTACCTTTTAAGTACAGAATTTCTTCTCCAAAAGTACTCAAAAACAATTTTTCTCCATGATTGACTAAAAAGAACAGTTTTCTTCAAATATTAATATTCAAATTTTAAACATCTATTTGACAAATATACTTTTCCCATAATTAGCAGCTACTTAATATTCAACACACTTTTGTCAAGGAATGGAGGGGGGGAGGGTTGGAACTTAAGGACAGAATACTCTTCCAGGGGGGGGGGGGTCGCCCCCCCCCCCCTAGGCCCCTGATACATATTTTCATTGCATTACAGATATATGTATTAATACCTGAGTATGCATTGTATTTAGTAAATATTTACTAAATAAACATCACAAAAATGCTAAAAGTCATACAAACAGTAATCTAAAAAGGTGCAAGATCTCCAGCAAAAAAAGTTGAAAATATTGCAGTTGCTATTAGTGTTCATGTCAAGGACTACAAAAAACGTATTTAAGTTAGTGAGGTCAAACCAAAGACCTAGGTGTTGCGACAATTCAAAGTCGATCCGGTCTTGAAAATTAATGTAACATTGATGTACTTTGGATCTATAATCACAGTTCTGAATATAGTAGTTTAGATCTATAATCACAGTTCTGAATATAGTAGTTTAGATCTATTGCATCACAGTACTGAATATAGTAGTTTAGATCTATTGCACCACATCATTTCTGAATATAGTAGTTTGGAACTACAGAGCGTCCCATATCATATTAGATTATCTCCAATCTTTAACACCTAAATACGCACATTATACTAAAAAAATCTAGCAAAAAAATTTCTATTAGCCTTATTAAATTTTTCAAAATGATTCATTCTTCTTAAATTTTCTGATTTGTCCCCCAAATCATTATTTAGACCCATTGACGCAGTCTAATTTGATGTGGGACACCCTGTATAATCACAGTTCTGAATATAGTAGTTTGGATCTATTGCACCACATTTCTGAATATAGTAGTTTGGAACTATAATCACAGTTCTGAATATAGTAGTTTGGATCTATTGCACCACATTTCTGAATATAGTAGTT